AGCAGACTGCAGCTGACTGCAGCTGACCGCACTGACCACACTGACCGCACCAGTCGCAGCCTCTTTTCTTAAAAGAAAAAACAACCGCGATTATCAAAACAGCATGATTTGCTCATAAGAAGATCATAAGTTCCATCAGAATTCTTCTCAATCAAATTTTGGTGATAGTTTTCTTTGATATGTTCGTATTTGTTCTAATTCTTCCTATCATTGCATATACCTGTTTTGTAACAATCTAAACCTTGTTGTCTTTTGCTTTTACGTATATATTCTTGTTGTTTGTTTAAACCACAACTATTTATCCTCTCCGCCTGCAGGCTTCAGCCGCTGCGGTCATTGCGGTCAGTGCGGTCAGCTGCAGTCTGCTGCAGTCTGCTGCAGTCTGCTGCGGTCAGTGCAGACTGCTGCAGTCAGTGCGGCAGTATGAAACAACCCTATGGCATGAGAAAAGAAAACTGGCCATTAACTTCATGAATTTGCTATGAGGCAATGTGGCTGAATAATGAGCTCAGCATGCATCGAACAACAAAACTTATTTGAAGAATCCAGTAGGTTTTTTGCTGCTAGATTTAGAACTTCTAGGCATACATCATACCCCTATGTTGAACTGTGGATTGTTTCAGGGTAGCATGAGTGATGATTGGACAATCAGTAAACTATAAGTAGATAGCTGTTATCAAGTTCAAAATCCCAGTAGGTCATGTAGAAGCGTAAAATATGTCTTCGGCGAGACTATGAATATAGAAGTGTTGGGCACTGCTGTGTTCGAAGTTTTATCGTTTTGACTTTGCGGTTTCTTTTCCGTGGTTTTTCGAATGCGGCAAAAGTACACTGGTTACATGAAAGATACTTTCGCTACCCGATAAAACACTTTGAGCACTTGCACTTAAGCGGATAATGATGATTCAACAATACCGTGTGTTTCTTATTGTTTCGCCGCATCTTTGATATCACCTCGTTTCGAATTCACGTTTTCATAATCCGAGGCATGCGAAGCCAATCATCTCATATTCCCTTGAGCTGGCAACACAGGAAAAAAAAACAGATTTTATATGTGACATAATTCGTAACTTACCAGAGTAGGTCTTATTTTCTCGAACAAACTTCTTGAGAGTATCTAACAATCAGGCAGAAAATTGCTCAAGCTGTTAAAACCACGAAGACAATCGAAATTATTTGGTGCAGTTGCCAAAAGTTTTTGATAGAGAAGGAAGCAGATTTCAAATAAAAATTATTTCATAACTGTACACATAAATAACTGTTTTTTGTAGAGCCTTCGCATTCCGCTGCATCATGCTGTTAAATAACGTGTTTCTTTGCTTCAAGAGATGAAATTAAAGGACAACGTAAGCTAATGCATCAGTTACCCTATTTCATCGAAAAATGCTCCGATCTGAGCTTCTCTCGCACATTCTCTTCTTTTTAGTCTTAATCTCTGACTGCAAGCCTTTCAAGAATTTTTGAACTGGAAAAATACTCTATCTTTTATGAACAATTTTTCTTCTAGATGTATTCTGCTTGACCCCTTTTGCTTCATATTCCCATTCATAATCTATGCACAGCTCATTAAATTGTTCAGATCATTATCTCACAACTGAGGCACACCTCACTTGTAACTAGATCTCATGATGACAATCGGTCATTTACCATCTTCATTATCATCAATCTTATTGTTAGCACTTGACATGAGAATCTGGTGTCAGTGCCTCTGGAAAAATATACCATGTTGCCATTGAATGCGATATAATCTCTTTGCGTTTCGGCACTATATTATTGTCGTCCAAATTCTGGCGCCAAATGAAACGCCCAAGCAAATGGGCAGTTATTACAGAAAAGTTAGCGGGAAGAAAACAAAGAACTGCATGTTTAGGTGAGGTGTACACAAAGTAACACAATACTTTTTTTTGAACCCGCTGCAGATCATAATGGTAAACAGACCAGCAGAGAGAGCAGTGATCGTAAAAGTATGTGACCTTTAGAGATCCTCGGAACCAGCACCATTTTCCAATGTGTATTTCGCACACAATAAAATATTCAACGCAAATTCCAAAGTCAATAGAAAACTAATTTTGATGTAACTTCTATGTACCTTTCTATCACAGTGTTAACAAAGTTAGCCTTATGCTTTGATCATGTCTGGGATACCGTGGTCTAGTTATCATCTTATATATAAAGCTGAATGTCTGTCTGTATGTATGTCTGTATGGCAAAGTTTGGCCCCGGGCGGAGCCGGGTTTGCCATCTAGTAGTCCATATTTATTGCGACATTGGCAGTTTTTGTGGTGCCGGTTGAACAGGTTCGTCTGAATCGAAGTGGCCAGATGAATGTAGCAGCAGTAGAATCGCAAAAAAACCCAGCCGTTCTCCACCCCTGCACTTTTTTACATACACACTCTGAAAATTCTGATCCTATCGCCGAAGCAGCGCTAGAAATATTGTCGTATGGAAGATACTTACTTACTTAGATACTTAGACGTATGGAAGACTGCAAGCAAATGCAAATGTATTCTACTGTTCCAAAAAAAACTATCCGTTCGTGCTAAAATGGGGATTACTTTTCGTCATACGCATTAAAGATCAAAGAAGTCACCGGACCACGACAGTTCATCCTTTGATGTCGGAGAGCAAGCATACCGCCATGTACAAATGCGGTAAAGCTTTTATCTCTGTATGCCCATCTGAGCGTGTAACAAGTCCTTTGCTTCCTGATTTATTGCGTAACCAGTGCTTCACCTCTGCTTCGCAGAGGTTCGCACTGGCATCGTGAACCGTGGTAAACTCACTTTCTGAGAGCTTGTCTCTCAACATTGTTCGGCTTATTGCAACGTGAGCCGTAGTTAAAAATGAACCATACTCGCTATCTTAACCTCACATGATGTTTAGTATCGTAAATCATTCCTCACTGTAATTTCGTAACGGACAAACTCCACACAACTTCAGATTAAGCCGCTTATTATAAGTCATGATGATCATCGCAACGGGTACACAAATAATCGAGCAGATGTGGGAACAGATGGTTTAGCCAAAGGACACTGCCAATGGCCCTCGATGACAATACTAAATGGAAATGATGTAGTACGAGGTATAATCCTGTTTATGTCAAAACGCTTGTTTGAGTTGAATAGCTGGCAAATAGATTGTTAAGAGAGGGAGGAAGCCTCATAACTCCATGTGCATAACATATGACTTTGTCGAGCGTTTTAGTGCATCAATACTGCTACAGCACTGAACAAGTTGAAAAAGATTTCATTGCATAGGAGCAGAAGTGATTTGCAAGAGGGACACTCAACAGAATAGTTTAGGAAAGCCGAATTACAAGGTTTAACCAAAAGTTTGTTTGCACCACTTTTGAAGAAACGTTTTTTTTTTCAAAAAATTTTTCATTCTCGATAATATTGCTACTAATAGCTACTGTTAGAAAGAGTGAACCTCGCAGTTTCCAAAGACACCTTAGGTTTCTTATTAAGATATGAGTACAGAGATAAAAATGAAAGAATAAACATTTTAAGCTTCGGTGTTTTCAAGCAAGCAATTTCAAAAACCTACAAACATGCAAGAAAATCTAAAATAGTTGATATTATAAGTTTTAGGATATTCTCTTCCTAACTCGGTAAGTCTGTGCTAATCGAGCTTCCCTATGTTTTTCAAGAAAAATGCCAAAAAATCAACCTTCCCTTTTAGTGCTTTTTGAAAAGCTTGGCACAAACTTTGCACATTCAGAAAGAGGAGGTCCCAAACCTGTACAACAAACTATAGATTTATAACGAGCTTGATCGAAATCACTGAAGCCTAGATCAGCCTGGGTGTCCCAAAATTGTGTAAAAACTTCACTACTAATTTGGAGAATTGTGTTGCTGAATAGAGAGGTCGTTATTCATCTGACGTAGCTAGCTAGCCGCTTTTCTTACAATTAGAATCCAGAAGTAATGACATTCCTTCAACACAAGAACACTTTTTGAATAGTTCAGGGTTTACTGAAATTTGAGAAATGATCGCTTATGCCTGAGTTATTAAAGCTGAGTCAAGAGACTTTTGCTTGATGCACAGTCCTTTCTACTCGATGATCTTCACACTACCCCAAGTTGTGAACAGAGAATGGAGATAGCAACATCTTTTGTGAGAAATGAATCTATATATATAAAACTCAAAATTTGTAAGTGTGTTCGTTTGGTTGTTGGTTCGTTATAGAAACGCCCGCCAATGAACCGATTGAGCTGAAACTTTGCAGACATATGTATTCGACCCCGGAGCTGGTTTAGCGCTACTTTTTGCTGCAATTCGCTGGGACATTCTATTGATTTATTGATTTTTCGCATAAGAATGAGTTCTCAACATGGGCTAACAAGTCATTTCTATAATTTGTAAACAACAGCAGTGGAGTTCATTCGATTCTCGCGGTAGGAAGAATGCAGTGGATTAAGAGGAGCATACAGCGGGTAAGTTACTTTGACACAGGAACCCTTTGCTGCGCAACACAGTGGCAAGGTGGGAAGAGGAGGGGACGGGGGGGGGGGGGAAGTGCAGCAAAGATCAGCTAACGTGTCCCGGGCTAGACCGGGAAAACCAGCTAGTAGATAGATAATATGCAGGATAACTGAGAGGGTTGAAAGATGAGAAACCCATCGAAGAAAAAGTACATAATTAACACTGATGCGAACAAGTATGTCCGAATTCAAACACCTGTCATGAGTACGACAAATAAATTTGGAATTGAGCCACCGTTAATTCATCACCAGCAGCTTACCCTCAAATGCAGATACTTAGTACATAGTCCGCGCTATTGTCGTCACACAAATCCGACTCTTCCACTACTTTCCGTAGTGGTGTAGCTTCTTCGGTAAACCCATAATTATGCTGCTAAACAACCACCTAAACATTAGATTGAAATTAGCGTGTACATTAAAATAACTGTTTATCAAACAACCACAAGTATTCTTTCAAAATGTGGCCCTAAAGAGGGCCGTTGGGTTAGGTTAAAATGTGCACCAGCTGCAAGCGATTTACTTGCTGGAGGTGTACTTGGTGACGGCCTTGGTTCCCTCGGACACGGCGTGCTTGGCGAGTTCCCCGGGGAGGATCAGACGGACGGCGGTCTGGATTTCACGGGACGAGATTGTCGAGCGCTTGTTGTAGTGGGCAAGCTTCGACGCCTCGACGGCGATGCGCTCGAAGACGTCGTTGACGAACGAGTTCATGATCGACATCGCCTTCGACGACACTCCGGTGTCGGGGTGCACCTGCTTGAGCACGCGGTAGATGTACACCGAGTAGCTCTCCTTGCGCCGGCTCCTCTTCTTCTTGTCTCCGCTGCGGCTCGCCTTCTGCGTCTTCGCGGCCTTCTTCGCTCCCTTCGCTGATGGCTTCGGTGGCATGACGAGATTCGCTGGGTAGTCAGTGATGAGAGCACTTGACTGGGCACCGCTTTTATCTGCCCTCGCTGCGCCCGACCACGCCCACGCAGTTACGCAGGGGGCGGGGTTACCCGAGAACACTATAAATATGGCCCGCGCAGTAACAGCGTTATCGTGAGTGTTCATCTCGCAGTTCTCTACATCGCTATGTCTGGACGTGGAAAAGGAGGCAAAGCCAAGACTGGAGGCAAGGCCAAGTCTCGCTCATCCCGAGCAGGACTTCAGTTCCCCGTCGGTCGTCTTCACCGCATGCTCCGCAAGGGCAACTACGCCGGCAGAATTGGAGGAGGAGCCCCCGTCTACCTGGCTGCTGTGCTCGAATACCTCGCTGCTGAGGTGCTCGAGTTGGCCGGCAATGCTGCTCGTGACAACAAGAAGACCAGAATCAACCCTCGACATCTCCAGCTCGCAGTCCGCAACGACGAGGAGTTGAACAAGCTGCTGTCCGGCGTCACCATCGCCCAGGGAGGAGTCCTGCCCAACATCCAGGCTGTTCTTCTGCCTAAGAAGACTGCAGGAGATAAGGAATAAGCGTTCTGTCTACACTACGGCGACCAATCTAACCCAACGGCCCTCTTTAGGGCCACAAATGCTTTGTATACAATGTTATGCATGGAATAAATTTACTTGAAACATTAGGTTTCACTGTAAGCCGAGGGAGATAGCACTTCAGTTATTATATCTACGTTTGCGGTAGCTTGAGAGCAAAATGAGGGCGGACATGCTTGAACTGTGGTGAAGATCCGTCTGCTCTTCAGTTGTTGTTGTCCTGTTATACCATTGTTCATGGCGAACGCCTATGTTTTTACTTCCAACATGGGCGCTTTCACTGTCGCAGATTACACAGCAGAATTGCGTATTTGTTAGAAGTAGACTGTTGTCTTTCTTGTAGCCATCAAAACAAGTGAAACTTTGGAAATATTTACTCCCTAATAGCGTCGTTGAAGCGCATTTTCCAGTTCTGGCCCTACCATCGCAAACATTAAAAATCACATCGGACAAGATTTGGCAGAAGCCCGTCCTATGCAAGTGATTGATAGCTGAGCAATAGGGATTTGTGCTGTTGCTAGGCCGCGAATGGACAGAATTTGATATCAATCAATAGTCACCCACGTCAGCTCACTTGCCAAGGTGTGAGCTACTGACGACATCAGCCCGAATTTGGCGGGAAACGAGATAGAGCGTCTCTTGGAGCATACAGAGAAACAAACAATTTCAAAGTGCTATTATGTAGTTTCAAGAGCAGATGATATCAGTGAGAAATAGATGCTTTAGGAAGAGAAGGTTAGTGGAGATTTTACGGATTCTTCAATTCACCGTAGCATTTCGTTGGATGTTATTCTCGAGGGGCAACTTAGTCAAACAGAAATTCTTGAGTCTGGGAATTTTGAAGCTGAACTCGTAAATGGTAAGAAGAACACAGCAGCTATTTTTTTATGTAGTCGAGATTTTTTTTGCTATTGGTCAGCGGACTATGTTTTTCTTGATTTAGCACTGCGAGGTTTTGTGATAAACAGCGAATGTCGTTCAAAACACTCACCGTTAGTACCTCATTGTCGCAAAACAGACCACAAGAAAGAATTCCTGACGAATGCATGGACGAAGACGAAGTAAAAGACGTTGAAAATTAGTCTACAGCGAAGGACTCTCTTGTGAGCCTAAATGATTCGAAAAAAGGGCAACAACTTTTTGATTTCTTCTCACTTTTCTCGGATAAAGCAAAAATTGAGCAACCCATTCCTCGTAACGTCGGACCGTAGGATGCAGTCCTATACTTGCTATACTCCTATACTTGCTAATGCGCGCTCATCGCTCGTTGCTGCTGATCTCACTTGCTCAAACCGCAGAGGTGATAACAGCGCCGAGCGTAGCTCCGCCCACCGACACAAGAGAATATAAGCGGGTGTCGACAGCGTCATACGTTCACTCAGGACAATAGCAATGGCTCGCACCAAGCAGACCGCTCGGAAATCGACCGGAGGAAAGGCTCCCCGCAAGCAGCTGGCCACCAAGGCCGCTCGCAAGTCGGCCCCGGCCACCGGAGGAGTGAAGAAGCCCCACCGCTACCGCCCCGGAACCGTCGCCCTGCGCGAAATCCGTCGCTACCAGAAGTCGACCGAGCTGCTCATCCGCAAGCTGCCCTTCCAGCGCCTGGTCCGCGAGATCGCCCAGGACTTCAAGACCGACCTGCGCTTCCAGTCGTCGGCTGTGATGGCCCTCCAAGAGGCTTCAGAGGCCTACCTCGTCGGTCTCTTCGAGGACACCAACCTCTGCGCCATCCACGCTAAGCGCGTAACCATCATGCCCAAGGACATCCAGCTCGCTCGCCGAATCCGCGGAGAACGCGCATAAGTGCCAGACCTGTGCCGACTAACATCTAACCCAACGGCCCTCTTTAGGGCCACAGCTTATCACGAGTCATAGTTACGCCTATCTAAAAACTTGTAAATGAAGTTCGTGCAATTGCGTTGGTGTTAATAAAAAGAGTAGTAACCGATGATGATAGGGTTCACATTGGTGTAGCCGAACCTTTGAAAACTGTGCGCCAAGTGGATCCATGCGGATTGTAGCCTACTTATGTGGGACAATATCTAGACTTTTTGGAAGGTTATAGATTTGCTTGGTACGTATATATTCAAGACATTGGTTTTAACAAGAAAACTTCCAAAAACCATGTTTTTGCGAGGGTAACGCCAAAAAAGAGTGATTGCGATCTCAGCAAAGATGGAGAGCCGAAAACTATGTGCTGCAGGTAATGCTGGCTGAATTCCCCGAGTACGGTCACTGGCAGCGTGTTGCACGCTGGTTGCAAATCCCTCTTCATGCTGCCAAACGTCTTTGAACGCCGATATGAGCTGGGTCGAAAAACCGAACGCGCAACTGGACCTCTGGAATTGCTCATGGTCCAGCGTTGAATAGAGTAAGTCATGCCGTACATTCCTCTGCTTGGTACAGTCATACTCAACATTGTTTCTTTGAACGCTAAAAACGATTAATTTTTACCTGCATTCTATTTTGCTTCGAAAAACGCACAGCTCAACGTCCAGAGTTGCTTGGCAGATATCAAAAACGCTTTCTGAATTAGCGCATAAAGCTCTTCAAGACAGTATGGGATACATCTGGAAAGGACACTCCGACTGCAAACCCTTTCCTTGTAAGTAAAAGTTCAGAAGCAAGTTTCTTGTTGGTACACAAGAGTATAACTTTATTGATTCACAGCACTTCGACGGAGTTCGCTGAAGGTTGCAACGCCATATCTTGTTTCGAAGCAGACGAATTTTTAATCCAAAAGCGCCATTCAATTCAGCTCGACGAGAGGCATCTTTTGGTTTATAGAAGTGCCTGTCTGGTCACGATAGTCGATTAAATTTCAAGGATCTTTCCAGATTCTTGCTCATGGAAGGTTACTCAGAGTGTGACTTACTGTGACCAACCTACAGAAGCAAAAATTTGGAACATCCGTGAAATAACTTATCGTGCCCATACAAGCACTCCTGTACATATATGTATCCATTAAGCTGAGTTGAATGGTGCTTTTAGATTGACAACTCGTCCACTCCTAAGCAAGATCTGGCGATCCAACCAAAGTGTGACGAACTATGGCGGAGCGATGTGATTTTTCTTCTACAAACAAGCGGTACTGTAGCTCTTTATGGTACAGTCGAGTAGATTTTCCGCTTAATATAGTGTGCTTGCACAGAAGGTGAAATACGGTGAAATTTGCGCGTGAAGAAGTAGCCACGCCAGTACTACGGGCATTTTGCGCCCGCAGTTGGCCGGCGTCACAGTCGAAACTATTTGTTTACGCGCAAATTTTACCGCATTTCACCTTCTGTGCAAGCACACTATATTGAGCGGGAAATCTACTCGACTGTAGTTTTATTCACGGAGGCCGAAATAAATGAAACAGCTCTATAAAGTTGTACTAAACTTGCATTTAGTGTAATCATTAATGACGCAATTGTAATCACTCAAAATGACTTTGAGTAATTGCGTCATGTTTGCGCAACGACATTAGGGCTATCGTTAATCCCGTCGGTAGTCTTGATCAACCATGCGCAGTATTAAGCATTGTGGGCTAAAAATGGGTCATTGGCACATAGGCTGTGAGGCTCACATATGACCTGAAAAATTAGCCTCGCCCAGATCTTGGTCTTGATTACTCAGCCAGAGATGGGAAATATTAGTCTGGTGCAGGAGTAGTAAGCTGTTTCCTCTTTTCAAGCTCGGTAACGACTGAAAAATGTTGCAACGTAATATCAGCGTATTCTGCTTCATATTATCTCTTACACTTTGAAGTTTCGCAACTGATATACAGCAAAGGCAAACCGTTGATTGAGTTTCTAGGTACGTCTTCTTTAAATTTTTCCAGAGCGCACTTTGCAGTATGCCAACAAAGGAGTCGAAAAAGTGTTCATAATATGGGAACGATGAGCTTCCAGCAATTGCCAGTTCTGTCAAAAATAAGGCTGGTTCGCTCGCCATAAACTGAAGCGCAGTAACATGTTCACATTTATTCCTAAAACAGCAAAAGACTGAAAGGCTCTGGTGCCGTTCTTGGATATCGAGAGAAATCAGGTAGACTGCCATATACTGAGCGTTTACAATTATTGATTTTCACTGCTTGGAAAATTGGAATATTTTCTACTACCCTAAAATCCGCCTATCAGATAAGTCCGCAAAGGAACTAACAGTTAAGTCCGCTTTCTTGAACAGTCGCCCTCGCGCCGCCAAGAGTCCTGCAGATAAGTCCGCTTTCTCATGCTCAGGATAGGCGAACTTATCTGCCTGAGGACTTATCTGGTAGACTTTTGGCAGCGCTGAGGGCGTTTTTTCATCGATTTTTCGCGTCGAAACTGCAGATAAGTCCGGACTTATTGTACGAATTTTAGGGTAATAGAAATACTTGCGGGAACTGCCATTCTTGCTGGTACCTGTCGCCTATAGTCGGATGAGCTTGTTTTGGTTATGTTACACTAAAGTGCAGGAGTACCGCATCAAACTTGAACACAGAGCGCATGTATACCTATCCCTATTCTATACTTACTTGTTGTACGTGGTCTAGCGAGCAACAAAGCTATATGGTAAATAAAACAATTTTCTATGCCGCAACATTACATGAATTG